AAATATTAAAAAAAAATAAAATAAAATAATGATTATATTGATTACACGTTAAAGTGATATTTTAGGTATACTGGGACAATAGGAACCCTGGTAGCACAGTGGCTAAGAGCTTGACTGTTAACCAAAAGGTCAGCAGTTGGAATCCACCAGCCAATCGTTGGAAACCCTATGGAGAAGATCTACTCTGTCCTGCAGGGTTGCTATGAGTTGGAATTGATGGCAACAGGTTTGGTTTTTATTTTTTTATTTTTTTTTTTGGTTTTGGGATAATAAAATATATTAAAATTAATTTCACCTGTTCAATTTTATATTTTTAAATGTGGCTACTGGAAAACTCATAATTATATCTGTGGTTTATACTTGTTACAGGCCAGGGCTGTAAAACCTTAAGATGGCATTGAGGGAAGGCCCTTCCTCTCCTGACTCCAATCACGGGGTCCTCACAGAACCCAGGCTACCGAACCCCAAAGGAAGGCCCTTCCGCCCTGTCTTGGGTCACACTTCCTAGACCCCCAGGGCTGACCCAGTCCTGAGAGCTCAGGTCGTGCCTGCTTCTTCCCTGGTCTGCTCTTTCAAGGGCTGCGGAAGAAGCCAGAGCAGGCCAGTAAGGAAGCTCCACCAGGATCCACACCCTCCTCATTAACACCAGGAAGCAACTTGATTAGGACCTCCAAATCCTTAATTACAGATCACAGACCTCCAGAGCAGCAGGAGGCCACTCATCATACCCAATGCTCGCTTTCACCAATGAGGAAACAGACTCAGTGTGGGTGGAGGTCAGAGGCTGAAACCCGGAACTCCCAATTTCCTGAGACCTCTGGCCCTGCCCACCCCTCCCCACAGCTGTGCATACCCTGTCTCCTGTACAGGCTCCAACTCCTCTGAGGAGTGCACCCTACTGTCTCTAGTAGCTGGCCTGGGGTCAGCTGCATCTATGGCAGAGAGAGAGGACCTGTGTGGCATTCTACCCGCGGGCCAACTTTCTACCTGCTGCAGGGCACGAGGGAGGATCCCTCGGTGCTTGTAATTCTCAGTTGCACCCGTCATGGTGTATGTCTTGCCGGCTCCTGTCTGCCCATAACACATGATGGTGCCTGCAAACATTTCAAAACACATCTCGGTGACATCCAGGAAAATAGCTTGAAGAACAGCTCTCCCATCCCCCAGGATGCTGTCCCTTGCAGGTCCAGTGTATACCCAGAGCCACCTAGAGGACCCTGGCATGAAGGTGGCCAAAGGGAGCAGCCAAGAGCATCAGGAATTCCTGCTACGGTGGGAGGTGAGTGGGCGGGGGAACAGGAAGATACATGACGAGTCAAAACATGGGCATCAGCTTTGAATCTGTGGTCCACACTTTGCTCTACTGTTCCCTTCACCAGTGGAGGATCTGGCCCTAGAGCTTCTGAGGAGGGCAGGGAATGTCAGGGAACAGAGGAACTGGAACTTTCCCTAGAAAGATGAGGAGGAAGACCAGAGAATTGGACTCCAGTCCTTCTTTAGCAAGGCTGTGAATTGCCAGGGTCTCAGAACTAGTTCTCCCTGTGGGACTGGCCAAGCAGGAGGGGCTTTCAAAATTCCCAGGAAGAGATGGAACAATAAAGTCATTTTCTATTGATGGTAAAAATTATTTGCAGACTGCAAGCTCCCACAGGACTTGCAGGTTGGTTGCTAGTTGGTCCCATGTAACTTCTAGAAATAGGACCACCACAATCAGGACCTGATCTGGTCCCATTTCACTGCCCAACCTGGGGGAACTTTCACTTGCACCTCTCACATCCTTCAGTCTGTCATCACCACAAGGTCTGGAACATGAACCACACAGTCATCCTGGAGTCTGGTTCCCACCTGTTCTTCCTCCTGGCTTGGGCAGCCTGAGTCAGGCCCCAGACAGAAGGCTGCTGGTATTAGAGTAAGGCTGCTGGGCAAGGGAAATAAGTGTTTCCCTTTGCCACATGGATGATATAGTTTCTGGGATTGGGAGATTTTATACAAGGAGTCCTAACATCAGCATCTGAGTTGGGGCCTGATACAGTGTCTATTTACAAATGAGCAGGAAAAGAGTCACTTCAGCTGAAATTGGTCCCTGGCTGGGACTCAGAGCCCATTCATGGCTCCTCAGTGCTCTGTACCCAAGACTCAGCTTCCCTGGGCCTTAATTCCTCTGCCTCCGCCTCCTCAGGGCTACATCCCCTCAGGGAGTCATGAAAACCAATGAGAACATCCTTGGGTCAATGGGCCCACACCTATGTATCACCTGTGGAATAAATCACAAAGTTTGGACATCCATACTCAATAAACTTTTAAACAAAAGACCTAAAACTTGGCTCACTAACAGCAAAATAGAGACATTCTAGATAGCAGCCACCAGATGGGCAAAGCCTACAAACTGTGACGTACTCTTTTAAGGATAATTTCTAAAAAAAACTTAGATTGAACAAATTTATAAAAATTTCCCAATACTGTTTTTAATTTGTTAAGAAAGTTAAAGTCCACTCAAGCTTTTAGTGATCTCTATAAATAATCCTGTCCTAGACTATCAACAGTAGGTTGATGGTGCTGGTAGAATGAAAATAGCACCTAGCAGGTAGTTGAGAGAAAAATGTTCCTACCCCATCAAACTCATCATCAAGGCATGTCTTCAAAACTAATGACGGATTTAAAACCTATAATAGTTGACCCCCCATGAACTACAGAGAGTTGGGCCGACTTAATCTTCCTATGAAGGTAGGACCCCAGGATATTGGATCGCACCATGCCCTTTACATCACCAAGCAAATAGTCAGTTTTCCACTGTAAGAACATGGAGACAGACAAGTAAGCAAACAAATGTTAGTAAATAAGGTTATATTTTATTTGTTCACCACAGAACGGCTGCACCTTTTCCTCCGGGAAGGGTTCTGCAGATTCTTACATAAGGCAACAGTTACTTAACTAAATTACCATTATAGCCATCCAGGGCCTGAGAAACCACATGCTTTGCGATTGTCTCATAAACCAAGTCCTGGGAGGCATCATGGAGAACTCCATCCAGCTTGAACGACCAGTCTGTCTGCTGGTTATTGACAACTCCTCTCCGAGTATCTTTTTTTAAGTGAATGTCAATGCTCTAGAAAGAAAGAGAGAAAAGAAGTTATTTGTTAGGAAACGGATTTTAAAAAATCACCACTAGCTGAGGTCTGATCTATAGGAAATAAAAGAAGCAAACTTTAGGAAGAGGGACTCCCTCATGTGGACTGATATTACAGATGAAATCTATGGGGGTGGGAGAAGGGGGCTCCTGCAGAGAGGCCCCACAATCCCTGATGGTGGAAGGATCAGGAGCCTGAAGCACTTCCTAGTTCCAGGACATCTCACCCTAGTTTATGGGATATGTCTGTCTTGGTTCCCCTTACCTATGATATGGAGTCAAGCAAATTCATCATATTCTTATTAAACAAGATTTAGGTACATTCAAACAGCACAGGGAGGCCTTGAATTAGGCTGGAAAGATGAATGGGTTGGAGCCCTATCTCTCTGGTTACTGGCAGTGAGGCCTCCCCAACTCTGCACTGCAGTGAACACTTACTTCCATACACGTGCTAGGGGTCAATGTGAGGAATGATGAAATAGCCAGAGAAAAGACTCTGGACTTCTCAGCACAGTTACTCACTGGTATTAGAGTAAATTGAGCATGTCCAACCTGTTTGTAATCAGTGGGTTTTCAGACGCATGCCTCTCAGTAAGCCATTGTAGGACAGCTGGCTTAGGGATTTACTGGGTAAGGTCAATGGTAGATTTCAATCTTCTCCATGGAGACTTCTACTGTAAACAGATGCTTGTTAAAATCTTACACTGGCTGCCCTAATCCAGGAGCCAAGACCTGGCCACATGCAGAAAAATCAAGACCCAGTGAGGGGGCTCAGCTCTGCTTATGCATTAAATGCTCTGTGTTTCTGGAAACCATGTCCAGGAGGGCACATTTCACAGGGCTTCACTGAACTTTTCTGACTGCCTGTACCTTTGCGCTTGTCTTTGAATTTTTTCTTTAAAGACTGTCTCAATGCTGCCCATAGTAGGCCCACAAACGTTTGCTGAGTGAAAACATCTAACATCCTCACGGTGTCTCACGTTGTGCTAAGCCTGTCAGAGGCTTCAGAAGGGTTCTCGGGGCAGTGGCAAGGGCACAGGGATGGAGAAATCTTTCTAGTTCTCTTGATAAGACATCCCCCCACTGCTTCGGTAAGTTTAACAGTGATCAATTCAAGACATTCTCATTGTGCCCCTCTGGGAGATTATATAAACGGCAAATATGTTCACCAGAAAGTTTTATGACTGTGTACAAGCATCAGTTTTTCTGTGTCAGTTTTGTTTAAAGGTAAAATAAAAAGACAGTATATTAAATGGGAGCTTTATGAGCTTCCTCATCAATAAAATAGTGTGTGTGTTGGGAGAGGTGGGGCGTGGTTTGGACTGATAAACTTGGGAGTTCATCTGAACTTGTACCAATTCTGTGTTGGCCCTTAAAAGGTTTTCTGGAAACAAGGTCACACTGTAGGGAGGCAGGACGGAGAGGACAGAGAGAGGCCCTGGCAGGAGAAGGCAAACATGTTGCACTTACTTTGTTGTCATCTCTGAATTTGATCATTTCATGAGCAAAGTCATCAGTTGGTTTGATCCGGACAAATGCGTGAACTTTTTTCCTCGTACCCATTCTAGCTAAAGAGAACCGTGAAATTTTCAGTAGTCATCATCAAACAACAATCAGTAGGAGAGGTGTGGTTCATTAAGATTAGAAAAGAGTGATATGCAGTCCTTTTGTTCTTATCCTGTTAGGGCCAGGCTTTCTTTTTACCCCTGGGCATTTCAGTGCTCTACCCACAGAACCCTGCTCAGAAAGCTTATGCACTTTCTGCTTCACAGGTTGCCTCACCATTTTCCACTAACGACCCTAAAGAGACTGAATACAAAGCTGAAAGGATGCTCTCTTTAATGGTCTAATCTTAGACAGGTTTTCCAGAAATGTTCTGCAGCTAAGATAAGTCCACATATGTTTTGCCTCATTTATTATGTTTTCCTCTGAAGCACTATGAAAATCATTAAAACTAATTTTCTTTTTTCGTTAACTACCTTATCTCAGATACAGCACCCCCACCTCTACCTCCATTAGCCTAAATAGATCAGATATATATCCTCTAGAGTCTATCTAACCTAGCCTATAAAATAGTCTTTCTTCTCTGCTACTCCATTGAAAGAAAAATCACTGACAGTCTACCACCTCCTCTTCCTCCCCCAAGAACTAGCTATGTTCTCATCATTTGTTTTCAAGTAGCCACACATATACAATCGATCCTCATTATTCATGGATTCCATATTGTGAATTCACCTACTCACTAAAATCTATTTGTAACCTCAAATCAATACTCATGACTCTTTTGTGGTCATTTGTGGACATGCACACAGCAGCAAAAAGATTGAGTTGCTCGATATACACATTCCCAGTTGAGGCTGAACAAGGTGATACTCTGCCTTCTTAGTTCAGTTCTCATAAATTTGCAGAATTTATGAAGAGAATTAGAGGAACTGTAAATAAGTGTCCTTTTTGCAGTCTATTTAGTGCCATGTTTTTTGCATTTTTGTGCTTTTTCTTGGTGATTCACTGTTTAAAACGGCCCCCAAGCATAGTGCTATCTAGTGTTCCTAAGTGTAAGAAGGCTATGATGTGCCTTATGGAGAAAAAAATGTTTTAGATAAGGCTATGTATTGATAGGTTGATGAAAATGTTGTGACCAGAGGCTCAAAGGAACCTAAACCCGTATTTCCCCTAGGAGCAATGGTTCTGTACTCACTAATTCAGTGTTTGTGGCATTACAGAACATAACTACCACAAATAACAAGAATAGACTCCATTTGTCTTCCTTCATTTATACTATTACAAATGATTGCCATGTATAATAAAATACATTAAGTACATTTGATGTGACTTCATGGTATAGGATGAAAGCTTATAGATAGAAACAACAGGGAGGCAAAATGTGACAGGGAGCTAAATGACTTTCCTAATATTCGGAGAGCTGTCCGATAATGGATAACACCTTCTCAAGGTAGAAACCATAAACACTGACAAAAGGGATTGTTGCATTGAATACAAGGTTAATTGATCTCTAAGATCCTTTCTAACTAAAATATTTCATAAAGATTTAAAAAAAATTTGAATCACATCACAACCCTCCAAATGATAACTAAGAAATCTCCTATTTTATTGGATATTAGCCCCATTGGTCAAATCACACTAGGCCACTGTCTCAGGAGTGCAAGTGTCAAAATACTTAATACTAATCAGATAGCAAATTTTGGTTCTAGCATGGACACAGAGTTGAGAAGCAAAAAGAATTATTAAATAGAGGTGATAATTGTACTGATTTTAATTGATTTAAGGGGAAGTTAAAACTTAATCAGCTTTTCAGGTGTCTCATTACTACACTGATGACAAAGGATAAAATATTGAGAGAAAAGGCCAAGAGTTCTAAAGCAAGCTAAGTAAAACTCTATCTGTAATCATCACTAATTGTGTTAAATCTAGTTAACTAATATTAGAAAACAAGATAAAGATCTATAAAATATACTAACTAACTTTATTGTTCAAAACTATTAGGCAAATTAACATAATATGATTTTAAGTTGTTCTAAGATTTCTATTTTTACATATAAATAAAATTTTCTAAGATCCATCTAATGTTTTAGTTTTTCCTTTTTTGTTCTTTTTTTTAACTTAAATAATATCCTCAAGTAGTTTATAGTCATCCTGAGACTGGGCCCTCAAGTTTCAATAATTTCTGTTCTAAAGAACCATTAGAATAAAGGAAAAAAATGTTAAAAACTGATTTAGCATTAGTGCTCCATAATGTAAAAAACAGAATTTGAATGGAGACATAGGCCCAGGCGTCAGAATGTGTGCTGTGTCATAGATGTCTCTTTTGATCTCCATCAGGGTTGGAGCAGTTCAGTAAGGAATGAGGCCTCTGCCCCTAACATAGCATCTACTTTCATGGGGCAGGATGGAGGAGTTGAGGTTAAAGAGAACGCTCCAAAACTCTTTAGAAAAAGACAAGCAGCTAAGGAGTTTGCTGAATTTATGAAGCGAGTTAGGGGAACATGAAGCATAGCGAGCTCACTCAATTTAATCCTCAAATTAGAAGATAGCAATATCAACACAGTTAATACAACACAGTTAATAAGGGAAAAATCGCTTGCTTATTAACTGTCATCAAGCAGCATTACCTATCTCTATATAAGCAAGTTCAATGGACACAGGCCTTGTCCTTTCAGTTCACAGTTTCAACAATGTGGACAAAATAAAACTATAATTTAGTTTTAATCAAATTCCTGTTATAAGCCCTTCAAAATCAAATCAAATAAGCAAACAAAACACTTTCATATTTACCTATTGCAGAGTGTGTGCATGCTTCCGACACTCCTCAAGTCAATTATGTCACGTTAGTGTTTTCCTAGCCAGTATGGGTTCATTGAGACTTTTTAATTTTTAGCAAATGAATCTGAAAGGTATTGGGGTAAGCAAGGATAATGGCCTGCCCAGTTTACGTTTTAACATTTTTGTCTGCAAAACTGAGATCTAGAAATAAAAAGCCACAAACAGCTCTAACATGCATCCTCAACTGAGGAAACCAAAAGAAAATCTCATCTCCGAGTTCACTTTGATCTAGGCTACTGGAAATTTGAGAGTGGACGGAGGGGTGTTTTGGATTAAGGAAACACTTACCCTCAAGCTCTGAAGTTCTGGGAACCACTCCCCACATCAACCCCTTTCTGCCCAGGGAAGTTCAGATGCTGCCCAGGGTGCCCTCTGAAAGGGATCTTGAAGAAGCAGGGAAGCTCTGGAGGTAAGTGCCCTCTCTCCCGGCAGCCTCTGCCCACCAACAGCACAAGGGTAGCACAGACCAGTTTGAAAGCACCACCCTTTCCCTAGAGCTTGTCCCTCCTCTGCCCTGCATTTTGCCACATGCGCATGCACATGCAGTCGCCTCCATCTGCACTTCCGAAAGCCCTCCCTATGCCCACACCCACGGCTCCCCGCATGCAGCAAGCCTGTAAGTCTGCCACTTAGCAGCCCCTCAATACCCAGACATTTGGGGACCCCATGCTATCTTGCACTTACTGAAATACCGCTTGTTACTGTTCTTACGCCGCTTCATTTGAATGAGTCTCAGCTCCCAAATTAAGTTACAAGCTGCTTGAGGGCAAGGACTGTGCCCTTTATCTCTTTTGAATCCCCCCACAACATCCAGAACACTGCTCAGAACAGAGCAGGTACACAAGAAATAGCAGCTGGTGGTGATGGTCATGGCTGGAAGTCAAAGGGTGGCTGAATCTCCATTTGTGGGTCCATCTTCTGTCTCTACTGAAAAAGCAATTTATTCTCACATCCAGACACCTTCCCAAGGAATCCATGATGTCAACTCCCCTCCCAGACCACCTCCAACCCCTGGGCCTACTGGCTTTGCAGGAGGACACCCCATTACCTTCCATTTGCAGGAAGCCTTCTTTAGGACCTCACCACACCCTCCCTTTTAGTAGTGTCCTTCTCCCTTAGCACCTTGTGAGGAACGTCCCTCTCTGGAGGGTACAACCCTTGAGTATTGCTGTTGTAGCAAGGTGAGCCTCTGAATGGCCACCAGGAGTCCTACCTTCTGCAAGGTTCTCCGATTTCTCGTTTGTTTAGAGTTGAGAATGAAGAGAATTGCCACCCAGCACTGCTGAAGGATCAACAAGAGGAGACGGAGTGACTGGTGGCTCAAGCGGTAGGCACCAAGTGGGTCCCTATCTTTCAGCACTCCATCAGAATCTCTTGCCCAGACCAGTGCCCCTCATCGGGTACCCTCACAGCCACCACGGCGGTGGCAGCAGCAGCAGTAACAGCAGCAACAGCAACTGAACCCAGAACCAGGACCCAACCGCACCCAGCCTTGCGATAAACACAGACACGAACCAGGCAGAACTAAGGTTTCTCCTCTCTCTCACCCGACGTACCAGACCCCTGTCTAGAGGCGGAGCAGCAGTGGAGCTTGAGCCCATTCCCTTCTTTTTCTGGAGCGGCTTCCTCATCTATAAAGCGAAGGACTCGGACTGGCGAGCCTGAAGCCCCCTCCAGTTTGAAAGTGGACGACTGCAGAAGTCCAGATGACCTCTGGTCCCCCCGCCTCACGCTCCCTGAGCCTCAGGCGCGAAGAGGGAACGTTAGCTCCGAACACCCCAAGCCACAGCCAGGCTGAAGAGGTCCCCACGATGCCACGCTGTCTGCCTTCGCTTCAAAAACGAGCGAGCCAAGCCCAGTGATTCCGGGCGGGAGCGACCTGCGGACCCCAGCCGCGGCCCGCAACGCAGGCGCACACCCCTGTCTGGCCTCCCTTCCCCACAACCCCCGGCGGCACTCGTCCCCTGCTCACCGATCGCGAGGCCCGAGCGCGACAGAGGCAGCTGCAGCGGCCGAAGTCGGGCACGCGATCTGGACGCCCCACGCACAGCTGACCGGCTGTGTACACAGTCGCCACGGCAACGGCCCGCTTCCGGGGATTCCGGAAGTGTCGAGTGGTGGCGGAAATGAAGTCCGCCGTCGTTGGCCGAGGATACGGGTGGGGGCAAGGCTGAATCAGAAGACTGGAGATGGCACCGATTGATCCAGGAAGACTGCAGCAGCTGCAAGCGAGAAGCCAGGGTCGGGGTAGAGAGGGAACTAAGGCTGCGTATAAACCAGGACGCGGGGCGGAAGGGCTTCCGGCGCAGAGGAGTTTGTGGTTACGGCGGCCGCTTAGGCCCGTCCGGTTCCGGCCCTGCGCTCCGAACTACTGCGGGCGCACGCCCTCGCCCCGCCCTGTTTAGTGTCGAGCCGGCCGGCCAGGCCTGCGCAGTTGAGGCGGTCGGGGAAGATGGTGGAGGACGGCGCGGAGGAGCTGGAGGATCTGGTGCACTTCTCGGTGTCCGAGTTGCCTAGTCGCGGCTATGGGGTCATGGAGGAGATCCGTCGGCAGGGCAAGCTGTGCGACGTGACGCTCAAGGTACCGCGGTCTGGGCGGCTCGGAGCTGTGGGGAGTGGAGCCGAGTGGGGAGGAGAGAGAGACTGGAGGGTGAGGAAAGAGGGGCGGCGAGGGAGAGAGAGGTTGAGTGGGGTGAGGTTTGGGGTGAGAAGGTTGGGGAGGGACCAAGTTCAGGGGAAGAGAGATGCCGAGCGGGGGAGGAGGGGAATTAGGTCCGGTGGAGATGGGATGAGGGACAGCTCCTCAGCCCGTGGAAGGAACGCGAGGAGGTGCGTGACTTAGGCCCTTGGAGTAGGAGACATTGGGGTGCCCGCTTCCCTATTCTGTCACACGGAGAAGAGAAAATGGACTTGCAGCTCCTCTGTGGAAGAAGGGGCGGTGGCCGGCTGTGCTTTCTGATGGGCACTACTGAAGCATCTTATTTTCATAGAGATGTTTTTGTGCTGTTTGAAGTTAGTTGTGCTGTTGCAGAGGCGCAGGTTTCTTCTTAGCAGTCATTGCCTGGACTTGAATTTTAGATTACTACCTTGAGCTACCTAAGAGCTTTTAAAACTTGATCTGGAAATCTTTTTTTTTTTTTTTTTTTTAGTATTTTATTGTACTTCAGGTGAAGGCTTACA